CCTCTGCTACTTCCCCTCACTCCATACACCTTCTGCTGCTTTCCTTGACCTTTCAGACTCCCAATCAGTTGTGAGAAGTGCTTTCAGATGTCCTCCTGACTTGAAAAATGCTATATAAATGTAAATTGGTGTTCTTCTTGTTGAGTCTAAGCTGGGTGGCTGGCAGTGAATGATAGTGATCTGCTGCTAACTTGCACTATAAGTTGAGCCTCAAATTGATCAAACGGGTTAGTTACAGAAGCTATTCAATTCATACCTCCACAGCAGGCGTGAATTGCACAGTTACCCCCCACACCCTTCCCCTTTCAGACCCCTTATAAATTCTGATTTGAGCATTTATAATGTCAGTAAGGAGCTTATCGTATGGCTGGCTTTTATTAACATTAAAATGACAAACATATTTGCATGCAAAACACCAAAGGTTAGATTCTAGTGATTCTTGCAAGCTGTGTTGTTCTTTCAGTATTTCTTCGAATTCAATGCAATCAGCAATATGTTTCACAGCAACACACAATGAACCTGGGATCTAATAACAACAATGAACATCAAGATCTGCATATATGAAGCTTTTAATGGCCAGGACCAGTTTTAACATTTGATTTTGCCTTGTGTCTAAAGAATCCTCACGTGCATAAAATTTCCAATGTGCGCACATTTTAATATCCACGTTTGCCTAATTAAATCAAGTAAATAAGTAAAATAATGAATACCAACTGATTAATCCTCCCATGCACATCACATTATCGTTGCACTCTTCATTAAATTAAATTGGAATCATGATCTACTGGACTGAAAGTATTGCAGTGCAGCATTAGATTCTAATCTCTCATTAGCAGCCTCGCAAAATTATCACAGCACATCACTTCAGGGGGTTTGAAGGCAGGTAAATCTCAAATGCTGCAGAGCGAGGATGTCAGCTAATGCTTTTTTATCATATTTCAAAAGTTGTACTTGAACTAGATATTTGGCATCACCTGATCACGACAGCACAGGTCAGTAGAGTAAGACAGATGCTACTAATAATAATAAGCCTTACATTTGACATGATTCCTTTCATGTCAGGAGGACATCTCAATGCGCTTTGCATTACATACTGCGAAGAGTAAAGACTAATACTGTAAAGTGTTTATCCACAAAACTGTATATTTTGTGGATGAACGCTGCAATCAATTTGCGCACAACATTGTCCCACAAACAGGGATGAAGTGAATGACCGATTTTATTTGGGGAATTGTGCTGTGGGATCTTTAACATCCACCTGAACGGTACTAGCCAAAGATGTTTTAGTATGACATGGGCTGAACTGAATGCAAAGATTATTATTTTTATTATAATCTGCATTTACGTTATCTGGGTATAGACAAAAGGGCAGTTCTCTCTCTTGGCCCCATCCTAGTGGGAGAATTTGAACGCACAATTGGCTGCCGCGTTTTGCCCACAAAATACAGTCAATTCACTGTACAGTATATTCTGTGAAGCGCTTTGAGACGTCTCAAAGAGGTGATAAGGTGCCATATCAAATGCAAGGATTATTATTATAATTATTCCCAAATTGGCAAACGGAATCTGTTTTTGTAAATTCTCAGCAGCTGGAACTGGAGACCCATGTGTCAGACTCCTAGCTGACAACAAACATTGGGCTAAGTACATAATATCAAAGGAGCAGTCATACTTCGTGGATTTCAATAATTAATGTTTTCTATGTTACAAGCGGAAATAAACAAAAAATGCCTGGGAAATATGTGATAGAGGAGAAGGTAAAGGATTAAGCCAAACCGAAGACAAAAAAAGTTTTTTGCTAAATTGTTTCGAGCCCAAACAGAGGATATTTTATCATCAATGGCTTATTTTCCAGCCGTCCAATTCTAACGTTCCTCATACAAAGCACAGAAAAACACATCAACAGCAAAGGCTAAATCCTTGTGCCGAGAACAAAAAAATAGCGCTTGATGAGTTCCCGCACACAATCTTGCATTGTGCTACAGTTTCTATGGCAACTAATGAATCTAACCAACAATCATACACACAGCAAAGCATACACACAGGTCTACATGAGCACAAATTAGCGAGCTATGGTTATTCAGGCTCGGGCTCTTCAATCCCGAGAGCAGACATCTCAACAAAATTGTATTATAGACGTAAAATCAAATTCAAAGAGTAAATCCAGGATAATACTTTAAGGATGCACCAAGAGAATAGAAAAGAGGACATAGGTTTAGAGCTGCAAAGGTCAATTTCAAGACAGACACCAGGAAATATTTCTTTACCCCAAGTTCAAATAACAGTAACATGCATTTATATAGCGCTCCCCTCCCCACCCTTCAGGTAGTGACTCAGAGCACTTGACAGTGGCGGAGCCTGGCGCCGAGCCAGGGGGTGGGGTGTGAGACTGTTAACACGGTTGGTGAGAAAGGTCTTCAGGCACAACTTGAAGATGGGGAAAGAGGGAGCAAGGCAGAGGGATTGAGGTAGGGTGCTGCAGATTTCAGGAAGTAGTAGCTGAGAGCATGGCCGCTGATACTGAGAGGTCCCAAAGGACAAGCAGGAGGCCGGGGCCAGTTGAGCGGAGGCGACGGGTGGTGGATTGGGGAATAAGCAGGTCGGAGAGGTAGGGAGATGCCACAGATTGAAAGGATCTGAAGACGAGTGTAATGAGCTTGAAATCGATCCATTCGATGATAGGGAGCCAATGGAGCTGGCTATCCAAGCAATAGAGAACAGAAGAATTCCTCTCCCCACAGAGAAATGGTTTTGGATTAACTACATACAATAACTAGAAAACTACAGCATCCGGCAGGGAAACGATTACTCGGTTAGGTACAGACTGCATCGAGAAACTACTCTAAACTAAATTCTGTTTTTTTTTTGAATCTTGATCTGTTCCTGAAAAAAAATTCAGACATCATCACGTAATGGTGGAGATGGATAAATATTCTCGAGTGTTTCCGGATATCCTTTGGGCATCAAGTAGTAACTACGTATAAGTTTCCACAAGAGATAAGAGTGGGTAGATCACAATCAATAGGTTGTGTTGGTCTGCAGAAGAAGTGCATTCAATCAGCCGATTCATATTTTCTCATTTCTTCTTTTTCTATATACACATGGAAGATTCTAGCTAACATCACTTACATTATAAACTGTTTTGGGGAAGACATATTAAAGACAAATGTGTTGCCATAAGCCTTCAATTACATCTTCAACTTCCATCTGAAAACATAATAAAACTCACTACCTTCAAGATTATTTGATCTATACACTGAATCCCACAGCTACTTTAAAAATCAACAATTCAAAAACACAATTGCTGTCAAACTATTGAAAGAAACGATTGTATTGAATCACAATAGTCAAGTACGTTTTTATCATTTTTGAAGCAAAAGCTTTAAAATGTTAAAAACTTATCAAAGCAATGGAAAAAACCTTCAGAATTCTTTGTAAGTTAGTCTCAGCAACACGGTGTACAAATAATTGTATTCGATCAAAACTTCAGCACGAACCACATTGATGAGGACTAACCACATTACACTATTAGGTTCTCCTAATAACTCCCACTACATGACAGTCTATTGTTAGCAATTTGAATCCCAGGAAAGCACCTGTCTTTTGTTGCCTGGCAACTGATCTTTTATAAAAATACAAATGATGTTTTATCCAGCAAATGCTAAATTTAGGTTAAAAGATTAAATTATGTAACTGTCTATAGGCTTATTTCCACACTGCACAATGTAACCTTTCCCTCCGTTGATAAAAAGGGGTCTGAAGAGCGTCTGTGTGTCATTTTCATTTATATGTTAAGAAATTGGGTTTTAACAATTTTTAAATCTTATTTGTAAAAGATAGTTTTATTGATAGACTGTTATTTTGCCAGTACAGTGTTTTTTGCCATTGCCATCTATACGTAATCTATGCATTGATTTTCAATGCACCAAATCTTGTTTTGTTCACTTCCATTGTATAGTTTTTGCTCTTAAGAAAACATTGAAAAACTGTATCTTCTAAAGTTATTGCTTATAACCCTTCATAGAGCCTATACATTGCTAAATTTCAGCTCGAGTCTGCAGGCATTTTATAAGCCAACCAAATTTACATTTCATCAGTTCCTAAAGTGTTTTCCAATGTTCTTATTTGAATTACATTACTGAATGAAGAACTTCCCGGATTGTAAAAAACAATTGCAAACTGGTTATTTTTAACTCAAGTTCATAGAATGTATTTACCATAATAACAGTTATTTTTTATCATCCATGACAGCACTCCATAACTAACCTAGGGCAAAACAAAAAAAGTTTCATATGCATCTAGACTTGGGTTTCTCGGAGACATATTTACAAAGCACAATGAAATAAAATGTTAATGTACAATACTGGAGCTATAAATGACCCAGATAGTTCAGTAACATGTGCAGTGATTGTTTGTGTGACCTGAGGATACAACTAGAACATATGCTCATCCATGGTTAGAGACTGAACCAGATTGCTTATATAATGTGTCCACCTGTTCATAGCAGTTCACCCCACTGTAACGAAAAGCCTTTTTTTTACTAAAAACAAAATAGATTATTTCAATTGAAATATTTCAGACCTAAAACTGATAAGATTATTCAATTAGGAATCCTAGACAGATTGCTGGTTCACAAGTCTAACATAACTAATTTTATTCTTCAAGGGTGACGATACATTTCAGTACAATAATGTGTTTACCAGATTAGGGTAAGGAAATCCATCCCATTGTTTTAATCACCGCTTTGGAAAATAATTTTGCCATGATTTCTATTTTCTACAACGAGGCAAATACAGGCTTATTTCAGAAAGTAAAACAAAAATGAATGGAAGCATATTTTCACTATAGATATAATAAATGCATCTCTTGTACAACTCTTTGCAGGTCAAAACTAGGTTGCCTAATTATACATTTCAAGTATAAATACCAAGCAGTACTTAGATAACAAATGTTCAACTCCAAATAAGAAATAGATGGATACAAAGAGGAAATTCCCTTACCCAGTGTGTTCTTTAATTCTTTGATGTTAAATTTGGCCTCAGGACATTTACTGAATCCACTCTTCTTCATCCCAATGCCTGTGATAACGTATGCCTGTGTAATCCTGGTTTAAGCTTGGCAACAAGTACAGTATCGATACGGATGTACTGGAATACAGCTTTCAAACCTAACCACAGTTCTTCTGGCTAGGATACTGCACCATTGCCTGTACTCCGTATTTAACATAACAGGACGTGCATCTCACAGCTTGTCAACCAATTGCAGCATGGCTGCTTTGCTCTCAGAATGTGTCATGATTTTTGTCAATTGTATCATTAGTTTCATTTGGCAGCACAGTTTAGACTGAAAGAGTTAAAATGGTCTACGCTTCAAGCCATTGTCCTTGTAATGAATGACGTGGCGCTGAAAATGCAACTATTGATTTCATCCACTTATTGATTTTTTTAAAAAATCTACAAAAGACCTTCCTGTAACATTCAGTTTATATAGATCCACGAGATGAAATATGCTTGTGAGTCCACTTTGATTTACAATGAATAGGGGTTAATTCACGCAGTGGATAGCACTCTTGTCTCTGGGTCAAAGGGGTGCAGTTCAATGCTTAGACTGATACCCGATTACAGGACTTGGGGGAATACTACATTGTGGGGGGTATATCGGATAAGATGTTAAAGGTCAATGATTGATACAAATACACAGTCACTAGATTTGACAGCAACTCTATGTGAATTACTTTGACACGTTTTGAATTAGAAGCGTTTTATCAAATGTATTAACATTGCACGGATGGCAATCATTGCATTTGATGTAATGCCTTACCACACATTGTCAACGTGTCTCAAAGGCTTCAAATGATTGCAACGTTTTGGGATGTCCTCCTGACGTGAAAGGCACTATATAAATATAATTTTTTTGTTGGTGATTTACCGTAAGCTGTAGTCCTAATTTTATGTCGATTTTCTCACCTTAATTTTTGTCCTTTTTTTGACACACACACACGTGAATAAATAGCCAGATTTTAATTTTGCTGATTAAACAATGAACATTGTGCTGCATGGCAAAAAATAAACCCTCAAGGATAGGAAAAAGTACTGCTTTCATTACTGACTCATTTTTTTTGCGATCTATCTATCTCAGTATCCTAAATGCATTATAAGACTACTATATTGTGTCACAAAAGAAGTGCAAATATCGCCTGACCTGGATGACAGGTGTATCAAATTTAAGCAACATACTTAAATAAAATTTGTTAAGGATTCCTCAATCTACCAGAGATGGGATTATGCAGAATAGAATGAAACAGTGCATTTACAACACTTTGCGCAAGAAATTGAGTAGCGTGCCTTATTTCTGTTACATATCCCAATTCCCATGGGAGCCATCCATGAACTCAGCTGCTTTCCAATCGCCTATAACCTTTGTAAAACGGTCCTGTATCAAGAATCCTACATCCTCAATGTCTACTTGGTTGATCTGAAGAGTCAATCTGGTGCAACCATAGCTGGCAGATGAAAATATTCTTTGTGGGGGGAGGGAGGGGGGGGGTCTAAGAAAAACTTAGTTAAAAGGTCGGCCTCCTTAAAACAGGCAAGCCAATGGACAATCAGAGGTGAGGACAGATACCCTGATGAACACTTACAGGACCAGCAGTGGGAAGGCACCACCTACAAGTTGGGAGAAGGACAAGAGGGGGCCCATGAGTGCCACAGGTTGGGGCTGCTCAGAGGATTAGCTGTGGTCCTCCTCAGGGTTCAGGTCTTTCCTCTCCCAGCTCCCCTTAAATAGGTGAGCTGTAATAATAATCATCCTTGCATTTGATATAGTGCCTTATCACGTCTTCTGGATGTCCCAAAGTGCTTCACAGAATATACTATAAATTGAATTGACTGTATGTTTTGTGGGCAAATTGAGGCAGACAATTGCGCACAGCGGTGTCCCACCAACAGTCGTGGATTAAGTGACCAAAGCATTATTATAATTATTATTATTTTGAAGGAATTATTAACCCCAGAAAAGCGATCCGCCAAGCAACTGACAACTGGGTTCCTATTTACAGCTAGGTAAACAGAGGCGAGTGGAGTGAGGAAACTTGCTCAACGTTTCGCCCTGCCTGGAATCGAACACAGGTCCTCTCACTTGCGAGGCGAGTGCTCTAGCCACTGAGCTCCAGGACTGTAGGTAGATTTTGGGGGCCTGAGTTATTGGATTACAAATGTGAGCAGCTCTAGACAATGTACTTGTGGAAATGCAGATACTGAATTTGATGGTAGCTAAACACCGCCCCAGCCCCAACAACCAAACAAAATGTAATTACCCCCACCCCCCCCCCCCCTCGAATGAATTAACTGGCGGAGAATGAAAACCATGATGAAGCCATATGCTTACATCAAGGATTTACAGAGAGAATTGAGTCAACTGTCTGCAAATGTCATTTTAATGCCAGGTCATTTTTGCTGCATGTTGCTAACAACCACATTCTCTCATTCTTCACAAACAGGACAGGAGAAAATGCAAAATTCTATACCTAACCTCATTTTACTGTTGAAAATACAGCCGTGATCTCTATATATTTTTTTTTTTTTAAAATCGCTCTTCCAGAAGACTTCTGTTGATGGATTCTATTCCACGGTTGCCAGCAAAATTGTAATACCTCACCTAAGTAACCATTATTTATGTGTGAGCAAAGCCAGCAAGTGTCAGCAAGCTGTCTGACAACAAAGCATTACATCCAAGCTTTCTTTGGTTTTTTATTTGGTTTTACACTAAAGATTGTAATATCGGTAGATTTGCGTGATTTCAATTGTTTTTCCATCTTGATGGATATCAACCTTCGGATTATTTTTTTTTGCTGTTGATCTTTTCTTTCTTCCAGTAAACCTTTCAGCTACAAGGATGACTAACTTCCAGGTTGTAAAGTTGCCATAGAAATCACTTCCTGCGTGGCCCACCTTGTGCTCTCTGCGCAGTGATCGCTGGTAACACCACTTCCTGCGTAGTAGTGACAAACACGACAAGAAGTGACAATTCCGGTGCATGTCATACATGTGCTGTGTACAGTAAATGACATCAGCGTGTGACACTTTCTGCGCGTAGCATGGTTGAAGTGACGAAAGCAGCAAACTGATGTCCCGGAAGTCGTCCGTATTTAAAAGTAGGAAGCCAGCTAGCAGGCACCGGCAGCTGAATGGACCTCGACTCCAATTATCATGAGGCACCAACAACAAAAAATTACAATGGTATAGCGCCTTTCACGTCAGGAGGACATCCCAATGCGCCGGACAATCGGTGTTTCGGTCCCGAGCTGGGGTTCGAAAGTGGGGAGTGTCGGGAAAAGCATCGGGGAAGGAAGTTTGACCAGCACTATAAGCGAGGCCACATAATACCAGGAAGCGTTAGAACTAGGTTCCACTGTAACAAGATAAATACAATACAAAATTACATTTGTATAGTGCCTTTCAAGTTGGGAGGATGTCCCAAGGCGCTGGAGATATAGTCTTTCCAAATATGGGACAAATGTAGAAGAATTTTTTTATATATATATAAAAACTTTGCATTTCCATGAATCTCATAGCAGTGAAAAAGATTCTATGCCTGAACGAGAGATTCAGCTAACGTTCCTATTACAGAGCACTGCTGAAACATGGAATGAACTGCCACCTAGTGTAGTAAATGTAGATATCTTCCAGCTCCGCACTCCACCAAGCTAGTCAGGAACCTAGGCATCTTGTTCGACCCTCAAATGTCCTTTCTCCCCCAAATACATGCCATGACCTGTTCTGCCTTCCCCCACTTCCGGAACGTTGGCCGACTCCGCCACTGCCTCACCCCTCAGGCTGCCGAGATCCGCATACATGCCTTCATTACAACCAGGCTCCACTGTGCCAACGTCCTGTTTGTCGGCCTTCCTATCTCTTCCCTCGACAAGCTACAGATCATCCGGATATCTGCAGCTCGTGTCCTCTCCCACACCAGGCTCCGTGACCCCATCACCCCACCCTCGCCCGGCTCCACTGACTCCCCATCCCTCAGAGGACTGAGTTCAAAATTCTCGTCCACACCTTCAAGGCCCTCCATGGCCTTGCCCCCTCCTTCCTCTACAACCTGTTAACTCCTTATCAACCTGACCGCTCTCTCCGCTTATCAGGCTCTGGCCTGCTCCATGTCCCCGCCCGGCCCACCCCACCATTGGCGATCGAGCCTTCAGCCTCTCTGCCTCCACTCTCTGGAAATTCATCCCACATTCCCTTCACCTCGTTCCCTCCCCTGCCTCCTTCAAGGCATGCCTCAAGACCCTCCTCTTTGACTGTGCCACCAGCCATCCTCCTACCCTCTCTGCCCCCCAACCCTCTCTGCCCCCCAACCCTCTCTGCCCCCCAACCCTCTCTGCCCCCCAACCCTCTCTGCCCCCCAACCCTCTCTGCCCCCCAACCCTCTCTGCCCCCCAACCCTCTCTGCCCCCAACCCTCTCTGCCCCCCAACCCTCTCTGCCCCCCAACCCTCTCTGCCCCCCCAACCCTCTCTGCCCCCCAACCCTCTCTGCCCCCCAACCCTCTCTGCCCCCCAACCCTCTCTGCCCCCAACCCTCTCTGCCCCCCAACCCTCTCTGCCCCCCAACCCTCTCTGCCCCCCAACCCTCTCTGCCCCCCAACCCTCTCTGCCCCCCAACCCTCTCTGCCCCCCAACCCTCTCTGCCCCCCAACCCTCTCTGCCCCCCAACCCTCTCTGCCCCCCAACCCTCTCTGCCCCCCAACCCTCTCTGCCCCCCAACCCTCTCTGCCCCCCAACCCTCTCTGCCCCCAACCCTCTCTGCCCCCCAACCCTCTCTGCCCTCCACCCTCTCTGCCCTCCACCCTCTCTGCCCTCCACCCCACCCGGGTCTTAATCCCTGACTGTCCAGCACCTTGGGATGTCCTCCCAATGTGAAAGGCGCTTTACAAATGTTATTTTGTATTGCATCTCCCAGTACTGCTTTATTTTGCCACCTTGGAAATGCATGAAACCAAGCCAACATGCCTATTCACAAATGATGCCACTTAATTTCACAAAACTTCACACACCGTAATCAATGTAATTTTAGCAATTTACTACAGTCAAACCTATCTTCAAAATATACTCAGAGGACTGAACCAAAGTGGCCTTTATATAAAGATAGCCTCTGATTCATGGTGTGTTTTCTATCTGT